AGACATTTAGCTAATGTACGTTTCAAGATGTACAATGCATTATTAAAATCAAATGAAGCTGTGAACGCGTTAGTCCGAAACATCGAGATATCGGGCAAGATTGCGAACGAGGCGAGGGGAAACTACCCTTGTACGATCACCGAAACACCTGAAAAGAAAACTCGTAAAACATTGGATAGGGGAAAGTTGCAGAAGAGTATCGCAACTCCTCGTCGATTGTTCGCAGCTGTTCCTAAGTGGACTCGGAAGCATCGGAGAGTTCACGGCACACAGAAACAAGTTGGATCTGCGGAAAGGCACGAAGGGAAGGCCAGAAGAGCAAGTTCGTGGTTGGCTGGAGCGGGGTGGCACGAGAAGGTAGATGGGAACGAACCGAGGTACAAGGAGGAAGAGGGCCGCGTGGGCTGAACAGGGAGGGAGAATACAGGTCGATACGGTAAACTATTGTCTGGTGGGTGAAGTGTTCACGAGAACCAGCCGGAAGACAGCCTTCGCGTCGGTTATATATTGTACATTCTATCTATCTATCTGGTTCGCACGAAACGCGAGGATATGATGTGCTCGTCACTGCGACGAGACGTTGGACGCCGCGGCGCGTCCAAGTAACCCCGCGCCTCCATCTACGTCACCGTTAACCCTTTCAGGCCAGGCTCCCTTGATCGATACCGAGAGCACCAAGCACTTACTTGCGTCATTATCGACTGCAAACGTGTCGCGATTATCATCTATCTACGCTTCAATTTATATTACGACTATCCTACAGTTTTCATTGATTATGCAATTAATATTGTTTATAGATTCTCCGACTTGATAAACATTTTTAAGTATATTAAAAATGATAGTTACGTTTCACAGCGATTAAACCTGGTATAAATCTAGCCATTTCTATTATTTAAAATCGTAATTATCGTGAAACGGAAGATGCGTTTTAAATTTTACCTGGCGAGCATCACGCGAGAACGTGCAGTTTCCGAGATTGTGACTTACCTTAGTTCATTTTCTTTCCATTTCTGTAAAATTTAGCATAGGTGACGAATTTGTTAAAATGATACGATTTCAGAGGGTACCTTGTTATCGCTTTTACAAGAGAGTCATTAAATCATTTGATACTTGGAGATTCCCGCAACGTCCTCTACGATCTTTCGCGGGAGTATCAAGAAAAGTGCATTAAGATTCGGACCAGAGATTATATTCAAACAAAGTTACATGGTGCAACAGAAGCGTGAACACGAATTTTCGAGAGTTTCGTCTCTGAATACAGAACCGCGCTGGCACACTGCATACACAAGGGCGGTTTGGCATGCGGTGCTACGTGACAATCCTACATTCGAAGTGTGTTTGCCGATTGTCATCGGGGGATGGTGTGGTAAACACAATTCCGCCCTACCACCTTGTTCCGCTCGCCTCTGCGTGTACTATTCTCGCGCTTGTCTAGATAGATATATCCCGCAACAGCGTTGATAGTCAACGTTGCCGTTGAGCTTCAATCGGGAGACCAACCCCTTCATGCCGACGACCGATAATTAAAATTCGCAATCAACAATTTCAACCCTTAAATCAATCAAAATTCGCGGAGGGAGAACAATCGTTGCCAATGGCTTGTTTTCTGAATAAGAATCATTGAGTCTCTGAATTTAATTCGAATATATTTTAATACGCGGTGAAATCATGATACGGTAAGCAAATTAACATTTTTCGAATGAGATATTGCTACGTAATTGAAAGGGGAACGGGAGATCTCATTTCTGCGGTAATGCTACGAGGAAAGCCGTCTCGAATAAAAATGATCAGTCGGAAAAATGAGTAAGAAAATGATTTCGCGAAACGGCCCGTGCCTAACATTACCGAACTGGTTAAACAGGTTATCAGTTTATAGCCACCGTAAACAGATTTTAAAGTTCGCGGCTCATGCTCGCGTGCATTCCGAACAGTCGTCTTTTTCCACGGTTTTCAAGTGTTCCGCGAGTATAAAGCGCGCAATGCAGAAAAGCATAAAGCAAGGTATTTCTATTACTCTCCTTTTTAAAAACTTCTGTAATAATAACTGCGTGCATACAAAGTATTTTTAATAATACTTACTTCGGTTGTTGGTCGTTTGGTCGGAAACGCGACTTTGAAAGAGAGATTTAAATCGTGGATTAAGCGTTATTTCACTGGTAAGGAGTCTGTAGAAAGATTTGAATATTTTGTAGAACAAACGTAAATTTGAAATGAAACTTCTAAAGGGAGCTAATCTTCTTCGTTCGAGCTCTATCAATAACGAAACCGTTCGTAGTAGATATTTTATTTCCAATTTAGGAACTGAAATGCCCATATAATAAAAAATGTTGGTGTGGTAATAATAATTATTATTAAATTGGGAAACGAGGGTTATGCTAAAAAGTCACTGCTAAGTATACAAAATGAAGAGAAAGAAAATTCGCAAAAAGAGAAACAAAAAAACGAACATAAATTTTCTTTGAATATTAATCGTTCTCTAATTTCCTTTCCGCCATTCATACATTCGTCTCATCGTGCGGCTTTTACATGTAACTCTTTCTTATTATTTATTCTTTCACTCTCACATGCCACACGCACACACGCTCTCTGCATCTCGCGCACACATGCACTTGTAATTCGAGATTAAAACAACCACGGTAACAAAACAAAAAGAAAAATTACATTATTCAATTAATTCGTATGGAATTTTGCACTCGCTCTTATTTTTTTTTTGTCTCCTCTCGTCTTCCTCCTACCTTTCCTTTATAGTCTCTTTCTAATTGATAAAGGGCTCGTTAAAAGCACATATAAACGACCACCATTATCGTTCAAAGTCACTATCTAAGCAGTTTTTATGGCACGTATTCTCGTACAAGCCCCTCAATTTTTTATTCGTTTCGTTTCGGGGAAAAAGAAAATTTCTTTTCTCTTCGCTCCGTTCTCACTCGTCCTTCTTTTATCATTGTCATTGTCCAACGAACCCTGCGGAATGATATATACACGTTGAAATCAGAAGCCTTTTCTCCTCGGATTCAGACGTAAGTGGCAACTACCTCGTTATAATTATCGTACACTATCAATGATCTCAAAAATAAAAAAAATTAGGATCGGGAAATTGAAATGATAATAAATAAAATGTTTAATGGTAAAAACAAACAATCGGGCTATGGAACAACAACTGATTGAATTAAATAAAAAAGATTCTATTTTTCAACGCGTAGGGTGTGAAAACATCCGCGAAAAACGGCTCACAAGTTGCGACAACGTACCCGGTACTCAGTCATTCCCTTCGTTTTCTTTTTGTTTATCGCAAAAGAACCTCCAAACATGAACAACTTATCGTTGAAAGACATCGATATAGAAATCTGATTTCTGCTAGAACGGCCCGGCGTGGACCTTATTTTACACTTCTTGTACGTCTTAGGGTTACGAATGTTTTAACGTTATCTGATATTTATTTTTCTTTTTATCTTTTATCAGTGTATGCTAAAACGAACAGATTCTATCAATATGTCTACGTTTAACATGGATATACCATCGGTACTTTTATCATCATTTTTTTTTATTCTTTTCATCAGAATAATTGGTGGCCCGCGATGTTCGATCACCTGTCGGCAGCAATCGCGCGTATTTATTTAAGAAATCAGTCGATTATACGATGATGCTAGTCAATTATTAAATTCGGACATAAAGAAGATTCGCACATTCGTTTTAATCTCTCACTCGTCCACTCTCTCGCACTCTCTCTCTCTCTCTCTCTCTCCCCCTCGTTCTCTATCGCACGCGCATCTGTCAATGAAAACGAAAAACATATCTTCATCTGCGATCCATTTTTTGCGTGTGATTTAATGTACAAGAGACTTTCTTTCTAGATGTTATTTCTGCAAAATATTGCGTTGCACCCTAATAAGAATATATGTATAATATGCAGCGATACGACTATCGTTGGCCACACAAATAAGACAGCCTGTACATTTACTAAATCTTAACGCTCTTACGTAATGTTTGAAAGGTATAATGCAAGGAATTTTATCTACCTTAACGAATTACGTGATTATATACATTATGTACATTATCTTCTCGTTGCCTATTACATCGCTTGCGTGCACTTATTTCATTAGAGCTGACTACAGAATCAGTGTTTAATGATGACCTCGTGTCTGTGTATGTGTACATGTACGTGTCAATACAATGAAAATTGTCTAAACTTACACAGTAGAGGATAGGGTTCTCGCGATCGTTACTACGCAAAGATTTCGATCATTATATAATAAACAATTATACGTTTTTGTTGATCCGTCGGTTAAACGTCTCGCATATACACATATACATATATTTATCTTTTCATTTATACATACATGTATATACATATATACACATGCATGCATGTATATATATACATATACAT